GTTGCGAACTTGCATTTTGAGGCGTTAATTGTAAGACCGGCCTCTTTTAATAATTTAAAAACTTGTTCGAGGTCATTAATGTGTTGTTCCAACGTACTACTCGTTATAATTATATCATCTAGATAAATTAAAGTTGATTTTCCTAGGACAGGCTTTAGAACAATGTCCATAGCTCTCTGGAATGTTGATGGGGCCCCACACAACCCAAAGGGCATGCGTAAAAATGCATAAGTGCCCGATTTTGTTATAAACGCGGTTTTATGTATATCTTCGGGTCTCATAGCTATTTGATAGTAGCCAGACGTTAAGTCCAAAGTAGACATATATCTTGTCGATTTGATCTGTCTAATGATCTCGTCTATAACCGGCAAAGGGTAAACTGGAAATTTAGTAATACTATTTAGTTTTCTGTAATCGATAGCAAACCTCCAAGCCCTTTTATCCGAAGGAGGAAACTCGTTCTTTTTCCTACATAGTACGACTGGACTCGCGTACTCACTATTTATGGGCGTTATTATTTTATTCTTTAACATCTCCTGAATATGTTCTTCGATGATTAGGTCTTTTTGTTTATCATAGCGATACGGTTTAGTCCTACAAGGTTTTTCGGCATTTAATTGAATCTTGTGAGTCACGATCTGACAGTTTCCTGGTTTTTCTGAAAACAAATGAGAAAAATTACTCACCACTTGCTGTATTGCTTTACTTTCCTGGTCATTCAGAATGGCTAAGGTCCAATTCAGGTGTCTCCACAGGTTCCACCACCCTCTGGTCCATCTCCAGCACCACGGAACTATCTTGAAAATTTAATTTGGCCCTCGCGGCCCTTAAAAAGTCCATACCTAAAATAAGAGAGTGTTGGAGGTCTTTCACCACAAAAATTAATACTTTGAGATTTTCCTCTTTTACCTGTAAGTTTAATGATACTTTCCCGATGCAGTGACATGTTTTTCCTTGCGCCGCTATAATTTCCGTATTTCTGGTTTTAAATAGTCGTATCCTATAAAAATTCTTTTTGAAGAACTTTTCACTCATAAAATTTCCTTCTGCTCCTGTATCGATGAGGGCTTCTACTGGTACATCGCCAACCAGGACTTGTATAATTGGTAGCTGTGAGTTTTTTTACGATGACCGTGTTTAAATGTCTATTTGAGGGTTTTTTTAAAACTTCCGGGGTCTGGACCCTCCCTTTCACAGGCCCCTCTAGTCGTTTAAAGCTTTCCTTTCAATCTGTGTCTTCTGGGTACGCGGATGCTTATTTTCAAATTTTCTTTTTGGGCCTTGACCTTCGAGTTTCGATGCGTTAGCTTGATAGTTCTTTCCCCCATATGAGCGATTTCCATTTCTGGTTTCCTCCTTCCTTCGGGTACTTTGAGAATATGTTTCCCCTCTCGCTCTTTCCGCTATTCTGCGATTTTGAAACTTCACCGCCAATTCGAAAAGTTCCTGCAATGTGCTTGGGTTTCTAATTTCAAAGTAGTCTTGGACAGCGGGTAACAATCTTGGTAATATTATTTCAATTATCTCCGCATCGGGTTTTTTTCCATACAGCATATCCGTTAGCTTGATTTTTCGTAAAATAAAGTCCGTCAATTGTGCTGTATCCCGTTGATAGAAACTATATAGTTCGGCTTCCAGCCGTGCGCGATCTTTCACTATGGGGAAGGCCTTTACTAACGATTTTTTGAAATTTTCAAATGTATACGTCGGGCTTCCAAATTCACCTAGAAGAAATTTGCCTATATTTTTCCACCATAGCGCGGCCTGTCCTCTTAGTGCTGATGTGGCGATGGCAACTTTTTGTCTTTCAGGCACAGGGTAGAGCTGAAAGTGGTTTTCTAGACCTTCTAAAAATACCGCCACCGACCGAATTTTTTCCGTCGAAATAGAGACGTTTGGCTTGATTGATGCTCTCAAAGTCTGGACCAGGTATCCAAATCCTTCTAACTGAGTTGTCATTTCTTGGTGTTGTCCAGCGGCTTCCATCCAGTTTTCGGCCATTTCAGTTCGATAAGTGTTCGGGCGCCAATATAACGTTGCGCGCCTCCAACTTGCACGCAACCAAGAGGTGACTGTGAAAACTTGTATAAAAGATAGAGCCTTGTGAAGGGTTTAAGTCCCTTTTTATTCAACGTAATAAATTACAATTGCGTCTCTTGATTTGACGCTTACAGACGGTGCCAACTCGGCAGTCAAATAAAAATAATAACCTGAAAAGAAAGTAAAGACAAGATTCTAACTACGAGGCTCTCTAAAATAACTAACTCACCGCGTTTTACAATACCGCTGCTAATTCAGCAGACTTGAAGCTCACTGGAACGATGACCACTACTTCCCGCCAAGCACATAGGCCGCAACGCGGGGTTCTTCAATTCTCGCTAACTACCTCCGCGCTCGCTAAGTAAGAATATCTCACACCGAACTCGTTTCCTTCTATTTAAATCAGAATACTTCCGCTGATAATTTGAATCCTTGCGCGTTCTACTCAAATTTACATATTCTGGCATTGGCAGTTCCAGGGGAAAGTAAGGCTTGACAGGAAAGATAGTTTAAACTTAAAATAAATGTTAGTTAAAATAAATATAAACCCTACATGCGCTTTACTGAATGATAACGCACGAAATTTTAGTAAACAACATTTCTCTTAACCGAGAAAAATCGAGACAATTCGTATAACTGCCTTTTCTAGAGAGATAACACAATTTTTTTTTTATATCGCCGAGTTTTCTGATTAAATTTGAAATTATACATCTTACGCTTTACAGAGTAGCAACGCAAAAGTTTTAATTCTCTGAGTTTGTAATCAAAAGTTTTTTAAATTAGCATAATATATATATAAATATAAAGAAATATAAATGACGACCGCATAGGCTGGTTTGGGAGAAATCTAATGTAAACAATGACCTTCCTCTTGTTTTGAAGGTCGAGTGTGGCAAGTTTTTATAAAGATCGGAATTAAACTGCAGATTTGTATAGAAGACAAACAAACAAACATTCATTTTTGCATTTAGAGTTAGATTCATGAATTTTTTCAGCGTATTCGAGTTTTTTTTTTTTTTTTTTTTTTTTTTCAATTTAAACATCGATAGTTTATAGTTATCGCCATCTGATTTTCAATGCATAGCAAATCAGAAATGATGGCATTACAGTTTTGTACTTAGTATCGTCTTTAAATATCTAATTAATTTTTTCACTAATGTTGTTAAATTACCTTACAACCCTAAAAAGCATGATTTAAATGAATTTTCATCCTATATTTTTCAAATGACTGCTTCAAATAGTTTAGTTTTCCTTTAGATGTTTTGAAAAACGAGTAAAATCGATAACTTAGAGTCCAAAATCAGCATCTGAACTAATTTATTCGAGTATGCTCAGTATAAAAACGCTTGTAAAATTTTTAAAATGTAAAGGCACGTTTTTAAAAACGTAAAACCTTTACAATAGGAAATGTTTAAATATATTTTTGCGTTATTCACTATAAAATTAAATTCAAAATTCTTTATGTCTTGTAATACAAATTGTTCTAAAAAATTTCGAGCATCAGAAAAATTATTTATTTTTAATTTATGCCCTAGTCACTTTCTGAAAAAAAAAAAAACTTTATTGGGACTTTTATTTTATATATTTAGCGGTTATTTTACGAATATTTTGCTAAGATAAAATAAAAATTGTCATATATAAGAAAAATTATTGATTCATATTTTTTTATATTAAATTTTATTTTTTAGAGGTTTAAGCACAATATTGTGAAATATTTTAAAACTAAAAAACTACATAACCGTACCAAATTTTATCATATTGAAACAAAGCTAAAAAGCTATTTTACATATTTTGAAAATGCTGTGTGTGCACATCTTCTTAATTTGGTATATATCTATGAAGTAATCTATTTCGTGCTATATGCATGCCAATATATCGCAACTGACGAGAGCCACAGCACTGGTGAAATAATTGCCAAGATTCTAGAAATTATTCTGGTGTGGGGGCACAAAGACAGAAACCTTCCCAAACTTCCACAAGGGAAAGTCATATAAATCCTAACACTTAGAGCTGCCACATTAGCGCACCTTTCTTCATCCTGCACGATTTGATGATACCTTTTTCAGGTGGTCTCTTTCTTTATGGAAAATTTTGGTTAAATTACTTTCACAAGAAGTATCCTTTATACTGAATCATACGGTCTTGTTTCACAGACATAATCATCATCGTTTTCTTTCAATTATGGACCAATTTTCTAATATGCTCAGATAAATCGCCTAGCGCACTAAAGATGTCTTCTGTACCAGAAAAAGTGGAAACACTGAGCATTTTCTAGTGTACGGTCAATTAGGTCATCTCGAAGCAGAAAACGTGAAAAATGTGCAATGCTCTTGCCGCGACTCGAGCTCTAACCTCTGGAATACGCGCGGAAAGGAGGTAGAAAATACCTTATATGCTCCCCTTTTTAAAGGACGCCTGGGGGTAAGCGTACTGAATCACCAAATCTTGATGATGACAAACTATCGTCCACCACGTTTTGGTTCGGGCGCCATTGTAATCATTAGTTTTTTTTTTTTTTAAGCAGGAAACGTGAAAATATGCAACTTTTGAACTCGAACCCTAAACCTCTCGAATACGCATCGAGTATGCTTCCAATTGCACCGCGAAAACATGCGAAAAGAAAGAAAAAAGTACCTCATAAAAGTACAAAAAAGCTTAATGACTTACCTTTATTTCAAGTATAATAAAATTTGGTATTGGTTATGAAATTTATTTTTAGGGGATTTTAAAATCCTTCATAGGCTTATGATAACTTTGCTCCTAGACCTGAAAAATGTTATTAAACTTAAAAGAGAGAAATTGATAAAAAAAAATACCGTAAGAGACCTTTGAACTTATAATTAGAATTTGAGCTCAAATATTACTGAAAATTAATAAAGCTTCTGTGTCTCTAAAATGTACTAAGCATCAGCGAAACATTAATTAATTTTAGAAAGATACAAATATCATAAGAACCGTGATTAGTGATTAAACGTAGCTTTATTCAACACAAAAGTACACATACAAAAGAATATTATGAACGTTTCGAAACATTTATTGAACAATGAAACATCCATTAAATTCAGTCAACAATAAACACTTAAACATTTAACATGCCTCATTTCAATAGCACTCTTTATTTATGTTAACATGACGCATCTAAGTAAGCACTATAATGAGAGAGAGGAAAAAAAGAAAGGAAAAAAAGCTAAATGAAATAAATCACAGATATTCTTAATACCAAAAATGTGTAATACGAGATACGCGTCCACCACGAAACGTAAACAACAATACTGGTATCATGGCACTTCGGTGGCATATATTATCTCATACAATTTCATTCCAAAAATGAAAATACAAGCTTAGCCACCGCTGCTAATGATAAAATACCAGAAGACAACCGTGCCCACTACGATATTCGGGCATGTCTAGACTTGTCTGAGGAAGGCCTCCACGCAAGGGTCCACCAGGCAAACGCTTGGGTTACTCCTCTTGTAGAAGACTCTCCTTTGTCGAAGGGGCAGAAGGAGGAGGCTGGTCGTGCTTTCACAGGGAACATCTCCATTGCAAATCGTTTGGCCTTGCTCTATGAAACCCACATCGCAGTTCTCTGATGTTAGGCCATACACTCCGCCCTGAAATTGAAACATTTAGCTTTGAGATCTTTTGCAGAAGTGATACATACCAGGAAACATAATTTAATGTATATCTATATTTCACCACGCTGGGGTCAATAAAACGCCAAATATTTTAAATCATACTTTTGCTGCATGATTTCATTCCACCTTTCCATTTCCATTCCATATATATATATCAACGTACACTTTTACAACTGCGCTTTTTAAGCATTAGCGACTGTTATTTGTGAAACACTACGCTAAACACACCCGGCAGGAAGCGTCCTCGCTACTATCCAACGGGAAATAAAGAATGTAAATACACATGCTGACTTCGACCTGAGGTAAAAAAAAAAAACACCTCAAATGGCGAACTGGATATGGTAATTGCGTGCGATATATGATTTATAGTTGTTTCAAGAGAGCAGTGTTGTTTTCGAATAACTGACAAGGCATTTCACGAAAAAGTAGTGGAACCTATACAGAATTTAGCATTGATAAAAAAGACTGAACATTCAGTAACTTTCTAAGATTTTATCTATGTTAATAAAAATTCGTTAACACCTAAATTACAGAATGTTGAAATATATTACACAAAATGGACCCTGAAAGAGAAGAGGCCAGTGACCAATATGTGATCATGAAAAGTGGCCAGTGATAAAATTTCCATTCACATTGTTCTGTGGTTTATAAATATGCTTATTGCGTTAGGAAAATTAACGTGTTGCCTTAATAAAACAATGTGACACTAAGTTCAATGGCATAACCAAAAACCTAAACGCAGTCTAACAGTCTGCTGTTGCATTCACTCCTGCTAGCCGTTTTTTTTTTTTTTTTTTTTTTTAATCTTTGTAGCCATGTAATTAAGCATCGTTTTCTTCGCACTTATGCCACATACAGCTTAACAACAAAATCAGAAAATTTTTAAAAACTGCATAGCATAATATGTTTAGAATTCTCAATGCAGTGTTGAGCATTGGCATAAATGTTTTCTTTTTTAGTTTTTCTCAGTTTATCATATTAATGTTCAGTTTTCTTACTAACATGGCCTTACAAAACATTTTTGTCTTTTTATTATTAAAGTTTTGTGTGTTTACTTTATATATTAATTATCACGTTTTTGGTTCTTACGCCACATAAAATTCGACTCAACAGCGAAATCAGAAAATATTTAAAACCTGTATATCTTTACAATTTCCGATAGACAGTTTCGTGCGCTGAAGATAAAAATATTCTATTCCGAATAGCGTTGCCGTTGCTCGATTTCAAATCTTTCCGTTTATTAATCAAAGATTCATTTAAGGTCTACGAAATAGTTAATAAAAACATAATGTCATTCTATGAAAATATTCAATACTTTTAATTAGACAGAGCATAAATTAAAATGCATTTTTATCAATTCAATCAGCACTACATCTATTGATTTCAAATAGCTTAGTTTGTTCAGTCTTTAACAGACAGATTCAATTTGAAAGATAAATATCTTACATTTTGGCGAATGGCAACAGACTCGAATGAAAAGTGAAACGATGCATTTATCATGATTCGACACAAAATCCTATTTCGAAACTAACAACCTCTTTTGGAGTAATTAGGATTAAATGTAATTCTTACTATATGTACATGGATATAATAATTTCAGAATTTATATGAATCTCTGATTAATATATATTGCTCTCCTTTATACGTCTTTATCTATCGGATCCCTCATAATCGTATGAGAAATGATTTTAAGCCTTTCTTTCACTATTTAGTGCTTTTATGTTGGATATTGCGTTTTGTAAGAGATAATCTGAAAAGTATAATTTTCGGTTCATATATGAATTAAAAAGTTGTATTACGAATGCTTCAAGAATATTAAATTTCTGTTTTTCGCCCGACAGTTGCAGTATCCACTATTTCAACCGAATACATCTGATCACTTTAATTGAAAAGTAAACATTTTACAGATAACACTTTCATTTTGCTGTGCTAATCGATTTCAGATTTTGAAAGTCTGTTATCTGAAACGCTTTAATAAACAGAAACATTTCACAAGTACATGCGTTCTTTTATGCTTTGAGTATTTCAAAGAGAGCTTACTTTGCATTTTCAAGTAAAATAGCCCACCCACGCATTCCGAAAAGTCAAGTGATCACGCATGCTCTGAAAGAGGATCCGAAATACTGAAAATCACTATGATGAGTTCCCCGTTACTTGAGACCCATTTTTGGACTTAAAATAAAAAAAAAATATCCAAGAAACTTGATATCCAAGCTGAAAGCATTTTGTGAAATAAAATACCGAGTTGATGCGTAACCATAGCAACCGAGCAATGTGAGATATATTTAGCTCTCTAAATTCCCTGTTCTGGTATTACTGCACCACTTGAACGTACAACAATGAATTAGCCTTCATACATGTTCATTGCCAATAGCCTATTGATTTGCAGATGGTTTTGAGAATAGCAATAGTAGTTTCTGTTGTAGCTCATAAAGGAAGATTCTAAATGTGAAAAAAATTCTTCTATATTGAAGATTTTCTAGTTGGAATTAAATATGCACTATTTATACATAGCACATACGAATTTGAGGAGTATACATAGTAGACTAGTAATAAAAATATAAAATTATTTATTATAATACAAATTGTATTTATATAGTATATAAATGCCTTCCCTAATTAAATGATGAAGTTAAATACATAAAGTAGTTTTTCATAGCTACAACTGTTAATGGACAGTTATCAATAACCAGTATTTCGCAAGTTCCTACTTCTAATTGAACGACCATTTGGCTTTCGGTTTAACTTTATTCATCAATGGAAAGTTATCATCAGTTTACCTGCACAAAAAAGCAAGCGAACAGCCAACATGTCCTCCGAGTTATTATCCGAATTAGTTGTTATCCGATCAAATAACTGCATCTGTGTGAAATAGATGGAAGCCAATACAATATTGAGTGAATCCAGATTAGCCACACTAATAGTGAGTTCAAGAGCAATACACTTACATATAAAGATATGTAAGATTAATATATTAAGATTACATATAAAAATATGTAAATCTCAACAAAACATATGTAAATCTCAAAACTATAATTTAAACTAGCAATAGTCTTTAATCCCCTTTAATCAGTAATAACTTTTCTGGATTGCGTCATTTCTAGATCAGTCTAAGTCACATGGTTTGCGTAATGCTGATGACGTAGCTAATTAGGAACTCGAACGCAAATTGAAACCTTTCTCTTAATAAGCAATCTAAACCTAAACCTTTTCTTTGCTAGCCTCCATATTGGATAATTGCTCATGTTTGCTTTTGTCTCTGTTGCCGTTAGGACACTATTTCGCTAGCTTTGCCTCTGCCAGCTTTTGTCCTAGGCTTATGTATAAAAGTGTGGAGTGTACAAGTGCACCCATAATGATGATGAGAATTGAAAAAGAATATGTGTCCTCAGAAATCGTTATCCAGCAATAAATCTATGTGTAGAATTTACGGCTGCGTCTGTCTTGGAGTTTCACATTTCTTACACACACATACACATATATGTATGTATATATATATTGTTACGTTTTTCTTTACGTACGGTACGTACGGGTTTGTGGATTTGGAGTGAATAACAACGACACTTGATGAAGCATCGAAACACAATTTATTAGCCTGTATTACTCAGAACAGCTCCAAAATCACCTTTACAGTCGTCGAATAACTACTATAAGCACACAACCTTCAGACTATCAGGCTATACGGTGAAGACAGCTTCACACCAAAGCACCAGAGTACAGCTCACGACTCTGCTCGGTCGTTCTCGAAACTACGTACTCTCGAGACTCTCAACGCTACAACTCGAGATGCAACACTAGAGTACAGCTCCCGACTCGGTTCCGTGGTTCTCGGAGCTCAGCACACTCTAAGATGAAACTCGACGATGCATTAACTCGCGATACACTAAGAGACTCTTTCGATGCACTCGACGACCAACTCGGCACTAGACTACAAGACACTCGCTCACTGATTAGTAACTGACTCGACTAGGCACTCGGTACTTACTCGCGATCGACTCGCTAGATGAAACACTGACTGACTGTCCGCGTGCCAGCAGGGTTTATATAGCTTTTGGCTTGAGATCGAGGACATTTTGGGCCAAACCGGTGAAAATTCGTTCCAGAAGGTTCTCCATCCGTCTATGGCATATCGCCAATTTTTGTCGCCAAATGGGAGATTTCTCGCCAAATATGGCAACGCTGCCTTCCTTTGCCATTTTTTGTCAACTCTAAGCCTGCTTTGCGGAAGCTATCTTATCGTTCCTGGACATATCTTAACGCTGAAATTATTATTAATTATTGATATATATATATATATGTGTGTGTGTGTGTGTGTGTGTGTAAAATATAAAATGTGAAAAGTATAACAAAGTACTAACAAAATTAGTAACTTAATTGACAACAGACCTTTTAATTTCTGATTTCAGTGTGAATACAAACCCCTTAAACGCATCTGTACTGCCCCATTTGTGTCAAACTATCCTGCAGATATCTGCTTTGCTGTGAATGTTTAGCCATTCATCATTCAGAACTCAAATAAATTAATCCAGACTTTAAATACTGCCAGTTACTTACTACTCATCACTTTTTTCAGAAGCTGCTGCTTGCATAATCCATGTCCTCGCTACTGTTCAAAAATGTAGTTACATTTTATATAAAATATGGAGGACCCGTTGTGCCGTCCAAATCAAGGATATGTCATATAATTGAAAAGCTCTTTCAAGAATAAATTATTATGCGGAATTCGGTACATCTGCTGCAACTCCATCATTTTACCTACAACGCAGTAGCTTCAAGCTATATCTCTCGTACAACCATCTCGGTCATGACTGAAAAAATGATTGATTTCATCTTCTCTGGGTATTAAGCTCTATCGAAGTACCAACAAATATATATATATATATTCTACGTATCAACAGAAATATTACATATATATGTATGTAAGACTAAAAATATCGAGAACCTTTACACAGCATATGCTTGCGCTTACTAATATG